CTGAGCCAGCCAATCAGGATCCTTCAAACATCGCTGTAGTTCCCCCAGGAGATAGCTAGCGGGGTTGGCAGGGAAAAGATAGGTCAAATATCCCCACCCCTGCAACTTAGGGCTGTCTGCCCTAGTAATGCTCCCCTTGAAGCCTCTCCAAACCCTCCTCAGGCAACAATTGCTCCTGGGCCATGGATAGGACGCTGAGACAACCAGACATATGCCCCCCACCCCCGCTCCCCCCGCTTTTAGGGCTCCACCACTCACTCTCGATGCCACTCGTAGATTTGCTGGATGTTCCCAAACACAATCCTGTCACGGCCTCGAAGATTCTCTGGGACCCCCTGAGCAGCCATGGTGGCCATGTAACCCTATGGGAAGTTTGGGGTGGGAACATAGGTATGTGGGGCCAGTCCTGGTGGGAACGCTACCTCCATAATAAGTGCAGGATGTAGGGGGATTGGGAAGGTGGGACAAAGGAGCATCAAGGCATCTTTTATTCTTTTGTTTCCTTTTTTTACCTATTTTTTTAAAATATATTTTTATTGATTTCAGAGAGGAAGGGAGAGGGAGAGAGAGAGACAGAAACGTCAATGATGAGAGAGAATCATCGATCTGCTGCCTCCTGTACGCCCCATACTGGGGATGGAGCCCACAACCTTGGGCATGTGCCCTGACCAGGAATCGAACGATGACCTCCTGGTTCATAGGTCAATGCTCAACCCCTAAGCTATGCCAGCCGGGCAAGGCATCTCTTAAAATTAGCCCGGGGCAGAGGAAAAGGGCTGGGTCAGGGCTGGGAAGGGAAAAGGGAGTTACCTCCACAATCTGCCCTAAGTCCTCCACATACATTTTCTCTGTCTCTACCAGTTCACCGAGGACATACCTGGGAAGAAAGGAGTGCACATCCTTGGTTTAGCCACTTTCTCCCTCCTGGACTAGAAGCCCCTTCATTTCCACAGCCAACCTCAGAGGAAATTCCAATTCTCAAATCTAAAATGTGAGGGACAGTCCTCTGGGCGTTGTAGAGTGGCAGAGAGGAAGGGAGAGTGTGGGGACACTTACATACTCCTTTCCAGAGCCTTCTTTTTCTGTTCTTCCTCACTCTCAGGGGCTTGGGACAAACTCTCCTCCTCAGGGAGCTGAAAGAAAAGAACATCCTAGAGCAGCGGTTCTCAACCTGTGGGTCGCGACCCCTTTGGCGGTCGAACGACCCTTTCACAGGGGTCGCCTAAGACCATCCTGCATATCAGATATTTACATTACAATTCATAATAGTAGCAACATTACAGTTATGAAGTAGCGACGAAAATAATTTTATGGTTGGGTCACAACATGAGGAACTGTATTTAAAGGGCCAGAAGGTTGAGAACCACTGTCCTAGAGGAAGCAAATGGATGCCTCTTGGGTGAGTTGGAGCCACCCAGACCCATTTCATCATCATACCTTCGTCTCATCTCCGGGGCCCTCCAACAGTGTGGTCAGCAGGGTCAATTCTGGAAGTTCCTCTCCTGTGGCTAGAGCTGGTTCCAGCATCCAGTTCTAGGGGCCAAGGTCAAGTGCCAGAGGTCAGGGACAGTCGCTGTGTCTCCCCACTAACCAATAGCCCCCAACTTGTCTTCTCTCCCAGTGTCCTACATGGATGGCCTACATGCTTCTGTGGTGTTCCCTGCTCACCTCATATGGTCCAGCCTGGCCACCATCTACTTCAGTTTCCACACTAAGACAATGTTTGGAGTGATCCAACCATCTTCTCAGGCCACTGCTGGGCCCTGGGGGGCCCGGGGAACAGGGTTCAGAGCTGAAGCCAGAGGTGGGGCCAGAGGGGACAGCCAGACCCGAGGCAGCTGAAGCTGAGATACTCCCCTCACTGTCAGCAATGGAGTAGGATTCTAAGGGGGTGGGGAGAAAGAAAAGGGGTGATAGATATTGCTCTAGCTCCAGGCTCAGGATCCCTAGGAAGCTCTCAGAGTCTCCTCTCTATGATGCTCGTCCCCTCTTCCCAGGGCTCACTCTCTTACCGTCCTCATTTGAGTTAGCCAGGATAGAAAATTTCACCAGGGCACCCTTGGAAGGACAGTAAATGCCTGGCTCCCCAGGCCTGGAACCCCCCAGTAACACGTGGAGGTTCCCCGATATCCTGAGCATGGCACAGATATGGGGGTGGGGGCAGCCATCTGGACAGACACTGGAAGCTGGGGGCGGCCATCTGCTCTCCTACAGCCCTCCCCCTTCCAGTGGGTACAAACCATTCTCTGAGAAGGGGGGTATGAAGAGCTAAGAGCACATCTGCCACCCCCAGTCCCCTCCTCCACCAATTTCAGTAATCACTACCATAAAAAAAGGCGTCTGTAGCCCACCTCCCCAACATGCGCAGACCCAATGGAAGGGGCAAGTGAGGAAAGCTTATCAGGGTTATTTTTGGCCTGGGCTCAGGGACAGAGGAGCTGCGATTTTTAAGAAAGCCCCTGGTCGATCCTCTCATTCCTCATCCCTCCATCCCTCTGTCCCTCCTCAGAGCTGAAGTAGAATCCTTAGCAAAAGGATTTGAGGGAAGATTCGGTTCTAGGCCAGAGGGGATGGTAGAGGGTTTTTTCTCATACCCGGCTGACTACAGGAAAGCCCTGCCCCTTCCCCAATTTCCTTAACTAGTTAGAAATTTGGAGGCAGAAGGGATCTTAGAGATCATCTATTAAGTATTTCCTGGAAAATACAGGTACAGTCTCCAGCTTCTAAACCCCTAGGGCCAAGACGAACATAAGTCCTGACCCCTCAGCCCACCCCCATTCAACGCTGAGCACTGGAGACCTCACACTCACCACGTCCCCCCCGGGCGATGCAGCAGCCGCATTTTGCCAGCACTTTTCGGATCACATTGGGACAGGCACAGCGACCCCCCTTGTGCCCCTCCCGCATGGCGCCCGGGCCCCCC